AGGCTTTAGATTCTCAGTGCTGTGCTTTAACCCGCTGAGCCACCAGGGAGGGCCTATTCCTGCTTTTTAACATGTTTGAACTTTCTGAATCTTTCCATAAACTCTGAATGGAATAAGTATGGGGTTTTTGTAGAATGTGATCATTTTCCCAAGAGCTCATTGGCTGAGGTTTCATGCTATGAGATGTAACTTGAAGTTCTAATCGTGAAAGTTCTAGATAAGTTTTCCAAACATATTTCTCTAAGGTTAAGACAGCTATTGCTGAGAAAAAAAAGTCCCATACCTGTGGTAGAATTGGGGAGCCGTTTTTTTGCACTTCCTATAGATATTCTCTGTTGCAGGGCATCAAAAAAGGACTGTGGAATGTGAAACACCAGTGGCTCTGGTTTGCCTACAGGAAATAAGAAAAAACTCATTTAAAGAAACTCTGTGCTCTCTGATTTGTAGGGAGAGGTGGAAGACATGGGACTGAGAACAGTAACTACTAAAAATACCACTGAGTTTTTTTTAATACAGAGGCTAAAAGAAGGCTTTGATGGATCTTTATGAGTCAAGCACTGTCACCAGCCCTACATGTGATCTCTTGCAACATTAAAAATACACCAGACCTTTGTCACCCACCAAGGATAACCTTTTAAATCCCTGATTCTGTAAACATTACCCTATCACAGACATTTCCCTATGAACTAAGATGAAATGAGAATAATGAGCTGATTTGAGAAGGTCAACTTGACTTCTATCTCTAAGCAACTGCAATTTAAACCCATATTTAAGCAAACTAAATGCAGACACTCACAAGGCCAGGAGCCTACAAGGCAGAAACTACAAAGTCAAGACACTATTTATCCAATAAGCATCAGCCTTATTTTTTTCTCTGAATATACTGTGAATGTAATCTCAAGATAGGTAAAATTGGGTCTTCCTGGTGGCACACGGGGTTAAAATGCAGCACTATGAAGCTATCCACAGCCATTGCAGGATAAGTTAGATTCCAGACCAGTGAGCTGACCCACATGGCACAGCAGACCACTCCTGCCTGCCTGCTGCTCCCCTCAGCAGTGTATTTAGGTCACTCAGTCTGTTCTGCCCCCCACTCTGTCTCTGGTGAATCCTCTCACCTCACCCCACACCTCTGGCCTGTACCCTAGTTCTTGTATGCATAAATAAATACACCTTAAAGTAAAAAAAAGGTAAGTAAAACACTTGAAAATATTTATCAAACCTCTAAAGAAACTTGCAAGACACTAGTGAAACAAAAACTGAACAGAAAGGGTGTTCATGAAAGGGGTCAAGGAAGTCTAGTCTTCCTTAAAAATTCTGCCAAAGCGGGTAGGGAAAAGAAATTCTGCCCAAGGTGCTAACTAGCCCTAGCAGAGAGAAAACATCAACATCCAGAATCACAGGTATAAAACCTGTAATTTCTACTGGCCTGGGCAAAACCTTTACTATCTCTTAAAGACTCTTAAAGTTCAGATGCTTTTTAGAAACAAAGAGCGTGCCAAGAAAAATTAAATGAAACGTTTTCTAGAATTCCATATAAAGACTAGAATACCTTAAATTGACTTTGCCTCCTTTATTTAATTCAAAATGTCAATGCCAAAACTGCCACTACTTGAGAGCCACTAAAATATTAATATCCGGGCAGTTTAGAGAGGTTACCACCTCAAGGTTTTTAAAAATCTTCCATCCTGAAACTAGATAATGGGCTATTAAATTTATTTGATTACTTTTTCTTTAGTTCTAAAAGAAGTGATTAACTCACCAGAATTCAATTGATGTATTAGAGGTAGGCTTACAGGTTAATCTAGAAAAGCCCTCATGAACAGGTTAATCTAGAAAAGCCCTCATGAAAGATAAGACTCAAATTCTAGGAAAGAGCTGATGTACATTTTTAACAAAACTGGTAGTAATGGAGCAAGTGCAGGGGGTATTAGGAGAATGGAAGGACTACTGTAAAAGTTTCATTTTCTGTTTGGGGAGGCAGGTTAGTAGGGTATTAGGCATATTATTTCAAATAATACATAAAAATTTTCCAGTTAAAATAGGATTTTGATCTTTAAGGAAACAAACCCAAAGTCTGGATTCTCCCAGGTATGTGGAGTAGACCTCTTCTGTCTTGCCCGCTGCTCCCCTCAGCAATGTATTTCAGCAGATCTGCCTATTCTACTCCCCACTGTGTCTCTGGTGAATCCTCTAAACCCCCCACAGCTCTGGTCTATACCCAATTCTTGTATGAATAAATAAATAAATCTTTAAAAAAAAAAAAAAACAAACCAAAAAACTTTTTGGTGTTTAAAACTACAGGAATTTGGTGTAAACATACTTTTCCTACTTGTTTTTCTTTTCCCCTTATAGCCTTCCCACTATTGTAAAGATAAACTCTTACCTCTGGGGTATCTAAAATTTGTTTAACTTGCAAGATATTAGTGATATGCCAGGTATACTTGGAAAAGGTTCCCAGTGGCAAGGCATCTTTCCGAACAAAAGCTGAAAAGTAAAAAGGGGACAAAATTTGACTAACCAAAAATAATATTCTATTTGCTATCTAGTTTCTAGAGATTTCAATGCACTGACAATCTGTCCTTATGGTATCTCAGCTCTTCTATTAAAAAAGAAATCCCAGAACAAATGATATGGGTTTGTGTTAAATCTCAGCTGCTTCGAGATGCTACTTTATTTTGCTAAATTAAAACTTGCTTGCCAAAGCCACACAAGCAGGACACAGTTTCTTACAATCTCTCACAACTTTAGTCTTTTTCTTTCTTTTAAAAGAGCAGATTTGTTTCTTTTTTTCTTTTATTTAAAGGTTTATTTAGGGCTTCTCTGGTGGCTCAGGGGTTAAAGACACAGCATTATCAAGCTACACTACAGCATGAATTAGATCTCTGGCTGGCCAGGGAGCTGACCCACATGGTGCAGCAGACCTCTCCTACCTTTCTTACCGCTCCCCTCAGCAGTGTATTTCAGTAGATCTGTTCCCCAAATCTTTCTGGTGTATCCTCTCACCTCCCCCACCCCCTGCACCTCTGCCTACACCCCAGCTCTTGTATGCATAAACAAATTTATTTATAAAAGTTATCTATTTTTTAAAGATATATTTAGGGCCTCCCTGGCCCTATTTTATATTATTTTAAATCATATAAATATAATTTAAAAATTACTTTATATTATATTGTAAATAAATTTATTTATGCATACAAGAACTAGAGTATAGGCTGGAGATATGGGGGGAAAGAGAGGTAAGAGAATTCACCAGAAACACTGGGGAGCAGATCTGGCGGTCGGGCTTAGATACACTTATGAGAGGAGTAGTTGGCAAAACAAAAGAAGACTGCTGTGCCATGTGGGTCAGCTCCCTGGTCAGGGATCGAATTCATGTTTCAGAGGCTGTTAATAGCTTCATATGCTGAGACATTACCCCCTGTGCCACCAGGGAAGCCCAACCTCTTACAACTTTACATATATGAGAGGTTAAATAATATGCCTCAAAATAATTACATGGAGTGTAAAGCCGCTAATGTGGTTGCCAACCCATTGTCCTGACTACAGGATTACAAAGGAGTTCCACTGAAGGGCCTGAAAAAACAGCTAAGGGGTAGGTTAAAATTAATGCATTAGGTCTAACATTTAAAATGGAACAAAGAATCAATATAGCCTCAAAGGTTAGAAGGTAAACTATAAAGACAAAGATTTTTATGGAACACGAACATAGTGACTCACAGCTTGCACTATTCAAAAATAGAACTAACAGCCACTATTATATCATCAAATGACAATTTACTGAAGAAATAGCACTGATTTCTAACTGTATACACTTGGGCTACTTGCCATTGAGCAATCCTTTCTCCCTCTTCTCTTCAGTATTTCCAATTACTACCTAGTAAGTATCTTGAGACCTTTAGTAAAAAAACATGAAATAAGTACTGAAATGTAATTAAAAATTGTTCCAACCCTAAGAATTATTCTAAGAATAAAATCTTCTTTTATCAAAAATTGAGAATTATGGAAAAAAGTTTTAGTTTTGTAATATGTTTCTAGGAAGCCAGTCAAATAATTGGAATCTACAGTGCTTTTACTGGAATTATTTCACATCTAGAAAATATCAAACTTGGGCCCTCCCCAGTGGCACAGCGGGTTAAAGCACAGCACTAAAAAGCTAAAGCCACTTCAGCATGAGTTCGATCCCTGCCCGCCCCAGAGATGATCCCACATGGCGCGGCAGACCTCTCCTGACCCGAGTGCTGATCTCCTCAGCAGTGTACTTCGTCAGTCTGCCTATTCTGCTCCCAGCTCTGTTTTGGGTGAATCCTCTCACCGCCCCTGTACCTCT